GAAAGATGAGAATGCAATGAGGTAGAAAACATATACACAAATTGCAGCGTCAATGATGATGTCCTCATAGCTTAACATGCCTGCATAACTGCATTATAAATGGAGACATAAAAAGATACAGCATATTGACATCAACTTGTAAATCAGCAACCCAAGGGCCTAAGAGCTTCACAACCTTGGAACAGAGTGAGTTTGCATGTTTTCTTCAAAACAATTCAGAATGTACAACACTCCTAGAGGACTGGTCTTTTTTTATTTTTTTTTTATTTTTATTTTTTAGTCTTACTCTAAAAGGAAATCTGAGCTTCTATATTAAATGAAACAATACAGGTCTTAGAGACAGAATGATATATATATACACACATACACACACACACACACATACATCATTATATATGTGTGTGTGTGTGTATATATATAAAACTTTTTCATTTTAAAAGTTAAGTGACAACAAGGAGCCATTTCTTCCTTGTTATTACTAAAAGCTGACAGAAAGCGATAGGAAAAAGAAAATGGTGGTGGAATGGGAAGGCAATTCGTTTCAAGTACGAGGACTGCCACCAACCTAGTCTCTGTTCCCTCAGTTTAGTTAAGAGATCTCTGAAAATATTCCAGCCAAATTTATTTATGTTACAGCTCTAAGACTCTTGAGAATATCTTTCTAAGCCTTTAGTTAGTTCTGAAAGTCAGTTCTGGCTAATGACACACTAACCTTTCCTTCTGTTATTAAGTTGAAAGGTAGCAGCAGCAGTAGCTTGCTCTATGTCCCAGACAACCTCTGCCACACCAGGGCTTCACAGCTTGTCAAACACAGAGTCGTTAATTTTCTAAATGTTTACCCCAAAACTGGAAAAAAATTAAGAGATTATGAAGGAAATTGTGTTAGTTTATTCTTGCATTGCTATAAAGGAATACTTGGGGCTGGGTAATTTATGAAGAGAAGAAGTTTTATTTTGGCTGATGGTTCTGCCGACTGTACAGGAAGCATGGTACCAGCATCTGCTCCTGGTAAGGGACTCAGGAAGTTTACAATTACGGCAGAAGGTGAAGGGGGAGCCAGTGCAACACACGGTGAGAGAGGGACAGAGAGCAGGGAGAGGAGCCAGACTCCTTTAAACAACCAGCTCTCACATGAATTAACAGAGCAAGAACTCACTTATTACCGCAGGGAGGGTACTACACCATTCATGAGGGATCCACTCCTCTGACCCAAACACCTCCCACTGGGCCACGTGTCCAACACTGGGGATTACATTTCACCATGAGGTTTGGAGGAAACAAATATCCAAATCATATCAGATACCAACTTAATAATGTTTGCATTTTATCAGTATGCTAAGGAGAAAGATTAAAGATAAATTAGCAGTAGAACACAGGTTTTGTGTTTGGCTGGTTTTTTTTTTGGTCAGACTTCCTGTGTTCAAGTCCAAGATCTACTTCTTAAAATATGTAGCCTTGAATTATTTATTTTCAGTAAACTTCAGTCTCTTCATGTATAAAATGGTAATTATAGCGATAATGAGGGCTGTCTCGACTTTGCTTTTTTACCTGGAGTAAAACTCAGCACATAGTAACACATTCCCTGTAGGGAATTAAACTTTTAACAGTTCATCTCTTTCCTGAAGACCTTCCCTAATTAATCAGAAATATAGACGTACACCTGTGTCTGTGTATTTCACGTGGATTAAAAACCTGTTTATCATAACTTCTGAAGTTTGACTCCTTCATATAGATTAATGAAAATTAGAGAAAAACTTACTTTGAAGACAAAATGTTAATATCTGAGATGGCAGTATTCCTCTTAGAATGTGTTTTCTGTTGAACATTGGAGGCTGTTTTATATTAAAAAGAAAGCACATCTACATTCTCAAGATTTACTACAGAGTTGAAAACTAAAAAACATTTGGTTGTCAAAAGTTCCATTAACTATCAGAACTAGAATATTTATTTATTTATTTGTATTTCAGTAGCTTTAGGGGTATAGGTGGTTTTTGGTTGCATGTGTGAATTGTATTGTGGTGAAGTCTAAAATTTTAGTGCACCTGTCACCTGACTAGTATACATTGTACCTAATATGTGGTTTTTTATTCCTCACCTCCCTCTCACTCTACCCCCTATCCTCCTCTAATGTCCAACATACCACTCTATATGCATTTTTGTATCCATAGCTTTGCTCTCCCTTATAAATGAGAACATGTAGTATTTGGTTTTCCATTCCTGAGTTGCTTCCTTTAGAGTAACGGCTTCCAGTTCCACCCAAATTGATGCAAAAGATATTATTTTGTTCTTTTCCATGGCCAATTAATATTCCATTATGTATATATACCACATTTCCTTTATCCACTCATCAGTTGACGAGCACTCTGATTCCATATCTCTGCAATTGTGAATTGTGCTGCAATAAACATATACATGCAGGTATCTCTTTGATATACTTTATTTTCTTTTGGATAGATATCCACTAGTGAGATTGCTGGATCCAATGCCAGATCTGCTTTCTGTTCTTTCCGTATTGATTTCCACGCTGTTTTCCATAGAGGCTATACTACTTTAAATTCCCAACAGCAGCATATAGGCATTCCCTTTTCACTACATCCACACCAACATCTATTGTTTTTTGACTTTTTAATAATGGCCATTCTGCCTAGGGTAAGGTGATATCTCACTGTGGTTTTAATTTGCATTTCCCTGAGGATTACTGAGGTTGAACATTTTTTTCATGCCTGTTGGCCATTTGTATATCTTCTTTTGAGAGCTGTCTATTTATGTAATTTGCCTGCATTTTAATGGGCTTATTTGTTTTTTTCTTGCTGATTTGTTTGAGTTCCTTGTAGATTCAAAGGATACTAATCCTTTTGTTGGATGCAGAGTTCACAAATATTTCCTCTCATTCTGTAGTCTGTTTAATAATTATTTATTTGGCTGTTCAGAAGCTTTTCAGCTAAATTAAGTCCCATTTATTTTTGTTTTTGTAAAACTAGAATATTTATGAGAATTTGTTTTATGAAAAAATATCAAGTTTAGTTTTTAACCACCTGAGTTAACAGGCAGAAATTTTGGAAGTTAACTTTATGTTTCAGTACTTGGGAAAAACAAATATTTGCTATATATACCAATAGAATTAAATGAAATTTAATTTAAAAATCAAAATATTAATTTCAGTGTTTTCCATACTTGTTTGATTTTAAGCATCACTCACCCAGAATCATTTGTGATAGTTCAGATTCCTAAGGTTTATTCTGGAACTATCAAACCAGAAACTCTAAAGAGAGTCTGAAATAACATTCTACGTTATTCTTATGATCAGATAAGTATGTGAAGAACTAACAAAAATATTTCTCTGAGAAGTACATCTTTTAAGATTTTTAATCATTACCAAACAACGTGAACCTTCTAAGAGAGAGGCTTATATTAAAAATAATGCGGCCGGGCGCGGTGGTTCAAGCCTGTAATCCCAGCACTTTGGGAGGCCGAGACGGGCGGATCACGAGGTCAGGAGATGGAGACCATCCTGACTAACACGGTGAAACCCCGTATCTACTAAAAAATACAAAAAAAAACTAGCCGGGCGTGTTGGCGAGCGCCTGTAGTCCCAGCTAACTCGTAAGGCTGAGGCAGGAGAATGGTGCAAACCCGGGAGGCGGAGCTTGCAGTGAGCTGAGATCCAGCCACTGCACTCCAGCCTGGGCGACAGAGCGAGACTCCATCGCAAATAAAAATAAAAATAAAAAATAATGCAACAGAATTTGAACAGCCATAAAGTTTACATTTTATAAACAAAATCAAATCCAATTATCTTAATTTATTTTAATCATCTCACAGTTTTCAGATCAGTAACATTTAAATTTGTGAATTTCTCAGATTCATAGGTGTTTTGACTCTCTGAGAGTCAAAAATAGGAAGTGCAAATCATAGGTAAGGAGGAGGTTTTGAAGTATAGCTCTATTGTTGCTGGTTTAATTTGTGAAGAGGTTGTAATATTGATTTTTTTTCTTCAACAAATGATTTAAACTATCTGCATGTTGGTACATGCCAAGCTATTGTGTGAAATTTTACCAGCTGGGAATTATCCCCTCATTCTCTGGTGTGATTAACACTTCCAGCTGTAGAATAATTAAAATGTCAATCAGTTCTGAAACAGAGCAAAACAGTTTCTCATTTGATCCGTTAGTTGGAAGGCTAAATGAAGGAGTATGTCAGGTGTCTAGCTCTTCTCACAACAAGAGTTCACATCCCACCTCTCTCTGTTTTCCTCCACCTCCCCTCTTCTGCCTTCACATACACAAACACACACTGTGGACTCTGGATTTGGGTTACGTTCAAATTTGATTCTTTGATATGATCTCAATCTTATAAAATTTGTTGTGTTGCTTATCTTTAAGAAAAACTTGGGGGAATAATGAGACCAGAAGGTTGGGGGAGGGGGTTTGTATGTGTTTTTATATGGGTTTTCTGCATGGTATATGTTCCTGGAATCATGTAAACATACACTCCATTAGTTTTGAAACTTCTTCCTTCTTGATCTTCTTGATCTGACAGCACTGACAATGACGTGCTTCATCATCACTCATAACCAGCACCTGAAGGAATGATAAAGCTTCTAGGCTTATAAAAAAACAAAGTGATGGGAAAAAATAGTCACAGCATGCTTAATATTCCTGAGTGTTCCAGTCTGTAGACTTGCATGAACACAGTGGCTGGAAAATACACTATGGCGGCACACATTTCAATCCACGCATCTCTGAAAGCCCCAGCCCCACTTCTGCTTCTTAAATACTCTTTTATAGGTCTCGATGCCTAGAGTCAGCAGCAGCAGCAATGTGGCTTTACATTTTTCTGTTAGAGTTCTTTTTTAACTTAATTAAAGCTTTAATAGAAGTTTTATTTTCCTTAGAGAGTGACTCTGAAGTTTAAAGTGGTCTTAAAAATAAGTACCTTAAATACCTGTTCATCAAACATCCTTTTGAACTTTTTGTTTTACTCAGAAGAATATTACTAATCAGATATATGAACTCTTTTGGATGAATGTGATACTCTAGGTAATGATCCCAGAGACTTCTACAGTGGTTATTTTAGTGGTTTCTTTGAAGTCTTAAGAGGAGGTCGTAGCAATATGTAAGTGAAAGCGTGTCAAATTGGTAGAAGCTAAAAAAGGTTGGGTTTCTGAGTGATGTCCTCTCATTTGAAGAAACCTTGAGCAACTCTTTAGCCAGCACCTGCTGTGCTGCCAAGCTGAACCTCAGATAACATGGTGATGTTCCTGATTCATATGATCAAGGTCCTACCACCCACAAGTACATTTCTAGGCTTAACCTTTTAAATACCTTTGTCATTTCCTTCCTTCTAAAGCAATTGTGCAGACAGTGCAATTTACTGAATGTTGAGACAGCACAAAATATTTGCTCTTTTCACTAATTTTTCTTTTCTCTCTCTTTTCAACACACTAAACCTTTTCCAAAGGTTCCAGAGGAGGAGTCAAAGCGGCTGTAATTTTGATTCAGTTTTATGGGCAATAGAATTATTTTACCGATTCCTGGAATCATGGCTCCTATACATGTAAGTAAGATAATCCTTTTCTCCAATCAATATGTATTCACTGAGAGGCTGAGATTACATCAGCAAGGGCTAGTCCACTGACCCCTAAATATTCATACTTAGAAAGGAAATTTGGAATCCAATAAGAGAGATGAGACTATGGTTCAATTAAAGAAAATGCCTTTGAAAAGGATGATGAAATTCCTTCAACTACAAGGTATGCTCTTCGAGTTGTTATAAACTTGTTATTGTTGCAATTTCACTCTGGGTAGCAGATATTTTAATGTCGATGAATCCCAAATGCAATTCTCTGGGCTATTTTTGAAGACTCTGGAACATTAGAAAGCAAAAAATATAAAGTTACCCAAAAAGTCAGCATTGCATCTGAATAGGTTCAAAACAAAATCAGTCCATATCTTGATGCCGTCTGCATTCTCTGAAAATACAATAACCACAAATGGTGCCAGAGGGAAAAGAGAAAGGACTTCTGTTGACTTCAAATAAAGGCGGTATCTGACAAAAGGGGAAGCAAATGATACCTTGATATGCCATTAACAAATGCCTTGTATATCTACAGCTGCTCTCTATGAGCACTTTGGAAATTAAAGGATTGCCAGCTTTTCCACTTTGGGACAAAAAACATTTGTGCTAAACAGCCGGTAAGTAAATGCAGTAAACATATTTTTACAGTGAATAGAATTGTTTTATATTTTGGGGACTGATTGTGAATTTCTACTGCTTCTTGATTAGCAAACATTTGGCAGTTCCCGAGTCTTTAGACATTAAAATGCCAAAACAGATTTTTATTCTCAGACTGAGCTCCTATATTTTTTTCATTCTCCTAACAATTATCCTCAAAACATTTGAAAGCACTAAAATAAAACGTGTTCTGAAAACACATTCGGAAACGTTTTACCTGTGTGACTTTAATAAGCATGTAAAAAAAAAAATACTGGGTTGATGTCTAACTTCCTTAGGGCAGAGATGAGAACACAGTACATACATAATGACTGTTGGAACTGTTGGTGGGCATTTCCTAGGGCCTTGCCTTGGGACCGTGGAAGGTTTTATTGCTGAACACCAAAGCTGGTAAAAACAGATGTTTGTGCAAAGTCTCTTGGGTGTATCTCTTAGTAGTAATGTTCCTGCTAATTTTAAAAATCAATAAACTTCTAATAGGTTTAAAAGTTCTCAGTAATGATTTTTATCTCTTTTTAAGAGTCATGTCCTTACACATTTTTGTGTTGTTACATTGAAATTATTGGAGGATTTTTCTTTTAAATGATCATTTTAGGTATCTTACACTTTAATCTTAAAATGGATTAGGAGATGGATTGTATTTGTTTTGCATTCATTCATTGATTATAATTTTTTGTTAACTAATTATATAGAAATGAATGTTTTAATCTGCCAACTTTATATAAAACTTGAAAATTCAGAAAAAACAAGTAGGCAGAATGGCATAATTTTTACACTGGCTCACATCTTGGTTGCAGTGCAGGATTTTGCAGTCTTCTATGATTGAGTGTGTATGTGTTGTGTATATATTTGTGCATGTGTGTGTATGTGATTTGTATGTGTGCATAAGTGGAGGTTGTGGTTTTATCATTATAATTAAAGTTTTAAATTAAAATGTAAAGGCATGTATTAGTTTTCTATTGCTTCTGTAACAAATTACTACAAATTTAATGGCTCAAAACAATACACATTATCTTATAGTCCTGGAGGTGACCAGTCTGAAATGAGTTTCACTGGGCTAAAACAAAGTGTTGATGGGATTGCATTTCTTCTAGAGGCTTTAAAAGAGAATCCTTTTTCTTTCCTTGTTCATATTCTAGAGGCCACTTATTTGTATTCCTTGGTTTTTAAGGAATCTTCAAAACAAGCAACTATATCACTCTGTGACTTCTGTTTTCATCAGCACGTCTCTTTCTCAGACTCTGACTCCTCCTGCATCCCTCTGACAAGGACCCCTGTAATTACATTGGTCACATCTGGATAGAGGGCCATCATTCTGACTTCTACTGACATAAAATTCACTAAAATAAAATTCTTGCTACTCACCTCTCCCTTCAGTGAATCTTCCCATGATTTCTTATCTCCCCTGAATGCCAGTATTTTTATCCATATAGTTCGCCTGCTTGCTTAAGGAAATTATCCTTGAGTGTCCATGAAATTTATGCGGATGCAACTTGCCCAACCTTCCCCAACATGCCTACTTTATAAACTGTGGACTTTTCCTTGCCCCCTTCCCCTGTGTGAGGTGGAAGCATTACTTCTAGAACAAACGTCTTCCACCTGAATCTTTTTTTCTAATGGTGCTTCAGTTCCCTGAAATGGAAGCACAACTTTCTCCTGGAGGTTCCATTTCTATAAGATGACATTCCACTTGAAGTAAATTCTTTTCTTCTTCTCCAAGTCAAGGTGCTGTAAGGAGATGCCTCATCCTTATTCCTTGATGCCTCTTCCACACCATTATTCTACAACCACCATCTGACAATCCCTCCCCCACTGAAGTTGATGATATCTGGTGGTGGCTTTTCTTTCCCCATTTTTGACGTCATATGCTAGCTTCAAGTTCTCCTTATATTCTTCATTTAATGTATTATTTTATTTTTATGATTTGCAGGGATTATTCCTTAGACACTTTATTGTCCATACTGCTATCATCTACCAAACTAGCTTCAACTTCAACAGCAATGGCCTCCTTTATCATCTTCCCATATTGTCCCTTACATATGAAAATATTTTTGAACCTTGAAATTACTTGGAAATGATGAGATGGAAAATGAACTCTAAAGTTATACTTTGTGACTCCACCCTTCTTCCCTTCCAACTGTTCCCTTTCCCTTTATTCTTTCCTGACCTCGTTTTTCAATTTCACCTAATTCCCTGTCTCTAAACCTCTCTATTCCCTCCATCTATTAACCTCTCCTGTAAGTCCTTGTTTATATTCTGGAGCAGTGTTTCTGAAACTATCTGTCAGGTGAAGGACGAGTTTTTATTTCCCAACCCACTGTCAACTGATATTTTATTAAAATATAATAATCATGAATGTTACTTGAGAATTGAAAATAATAGACAAGTACATACAAAAGGCAAACAATTTTTAAGAGTCAATAGATGTAAAATGTCAGTTACTATGATCAAAGCAAATAGAGTAGAATAAAATAATTATAAAAATCACACATAACACATTGAAAATACGCCTGTAAATGATTAATATAGCCATTTTACTCATATTTGTATGATATTCTTCAATCATAACCAACTGGAATTTCATTGATATTGCACTGAATTTATAGATTAAGTTGGTTAAAAACTGATATATTGACAATACTGAGTTTTCCTATCTGTGAACATGGAATATCTCTCCACTTATTTAGCTCTTCCTTGATTTATTTTATCAGAGTTTGTAGTTTTTCTCACATATTTTTTGTTTATATTATGTTAGATTTATACCTAAGTATTTCATTTTTAGCATGCTAATAAAAATGGTGTTGTATTTTTATTTTTGAATTTCACTTATGCATTACTGATTTATAGGAAAGTAATTTACTTTTATATACTAACCTTGTATTCTGCAACCTTGCTATAATCACTTACTAGTTCCAGTTTTTTGTTGTTTTGAATTTTATACATAGATCATGTCATCTATGAACAAAAAGTTTTATGTCTATACTCCTAATCTGTATACCTTTTTAAAGAAATTTTCCTGAGAAAAGCACACATAAGTCTAAAACCCACTGGCTTGCATGCTACATATCTGCATATTTTCTTAAATTTTCTCCTATATTTAGTCATTTTTATTCCAACACAGCACGACATTTAATCTACTTTGACTCTCTAATTACTTTACTCTTTTCTTTACTGATTTCTATTCCCTGCCTCCTGCTCCCAAATTTCTTTCTATCCTTTATTCTGTTCTTTAATGAGGTACTAATATGATGACTTTAATATGTACCCTCTGTGGTTAAATCAATATATTTAATTAGGACCTCCACCTTTCGTGATATCTTATTTTCAGTTCCTCTGGGCAACCCTTCTTATGTTTTTATCATCTTAATGAAAGTATAAACATCTGTTCGCCCAAGCCTGTTTATGTTAATTTTTTGTCTTATTTCACTGGTACCTCCATGTCCTCATTCAGCCAGGATAAGTATTTAGACCTGTGGGTTTTTTTTTTTTTCCATATACGCAGAATTCTAAAATGATGCCTGTGATTACTGCCCTGTGATGTGCACAACTTTTTGTAATCTTCTCCTTTTTCATACAAGTGAAACTTGTAACTCACTTATAACCAGTAGAATATAGCAAAGGTGAAGGGAAAGCTTAGATGTAACTAAGGTCTTTAGTCAGTTGATTTTTAGTTAACAAAAAGATAGATTATCTTGGGTTGGCCTGACCTAATCATGTGAGCCATTTAAAAGAGGCTCTAAGCCTTTGCCAAAATAAGACACAGGAAATAGCAGATACTCTCTCCCTTTCTGGCTTTGGAGAAGTAAGCTGCCATGAATTTTACAGCCAAACAGAAATGAATCCTATCAACAACCTGAGGAAGCTTGGAAGTGAATACTTCCCTAGTTGAACTTCCAGATGAGAATACATCCCAATCACCATTTTGATTACAGCTTTGTGAAACCTTAAACAGAGTACCCAATAAAGCTGTGCCCAAACTTGTGACCTACAGAAACTTTGAGATAATAAATATGTGTTGTTTTAAGCCACTAAATTTGTGTTAATTTGTTATGCAGCAGTAGAAAACTAGAACACTCATTTCTTCCAATTTCCGCATTTGCTCTTCAACCAATTTCTGTCTGCTCTCTCTATATAATATTTCTTACTCTTCTCTTTCACCTTCTCATCACTACCACTTTGGTTTATTAATTTTATTTTCTGTTACTAAAATGGCCTTTTGAATGATCTTTCCTCTCCAGCTCACTCTAAGAACCACTAGAAACACTAATTATGCCATTCTAGCTGTAAGGAAAGATGGTCACTGTGGTCATAAAGTAGAGTGGTTGATCTAGTGGTCTTGGCAGAAGAGCATGATTAGATGAAATTTCCAGGGAAGAACTATTAGAACAGGTGCTGGAATGGAGATGGTAGGACCCTGAAGATAAGTTAAGGAATTGAGAAATCACTGTGACTATGTTGCATAGGCTATTCAAGTAGACACCAAAAATAAAATATGTTGGTTATTTTAATATTACAAATATAACAAGCAGAGAACAAATGAAATTACTCATTTTACGTTGTTTCTCATGCCTTCTTTCACAAAAACATAGTAAAAGTTCCCCTTTGGCCTTTTGAGAAGAAAGTTTTAAAAATGTGCATTTATGTAATAACTCAATATAAGTTACAAAAGTCATGTATTACAAAGTCCATGCAAAAAAAATTGTTGTCACAAAAAATTCTGTAATTATCAAGCCTTCTAACCAAAAGTGAGTCAGTTATGCTCTTTTATACAGAAGCTGCTTTCTTCTAGGAAAAAGCAAATGCCAGTGTTAATCAAACCAGCATGGAAGTTAATTAGAACCCCAAGAACAAGCGGATGGGCTTAGCACCTTGGACACATGAATATCTTGTTTCTAAAAATGACCTCAAAAGATTGCATAACAATCAAGTCCAGCACAAGTCAGAAGTGACTAATTAACTT